ATGGTAATTGATTATCGTAAATAAATTCAATTACGATAACCGTTCGTATCCATTATCCCGGTATAACAGTTCTGACTTAAAAGTAGCTTTCACCAGATTCCATAGATTGAATCGGACGTTCAAAAAACGCATTTTCAGTTAATAATGGGTAAATACGAATTATCATAGATTACCTTTGGCTTAACGCCATCAATTTTCCAAAGAGCATTAGACGACATACTCAGAGAGTATATACGGGAAAACATATGCTTTGTCTACATAGGACGACAATATCATTCGGCCAAAATGAGATATACACTTAGAAATATTAATATATTTCCACACTTTAGAAAAAGCGTAAATCTAAGAATCCAAATGACAAATGTGAATTCTTAAAAAGAAGTAGAGTTTCTAGATTAAGCTTTCTCAAAACGGAATAAAGACAAACCCTTCAAAAGTGAAATCCATTTTAGAATTTCCACCACCACAAACCATAAAAGAGATAGATAAGATTAGATCATTCTTAGGACTTACCGATTATTACCGCCGATTTATAAAAGGCTATGCAAAACTTGCCAAACCCTTAACAATACTTTTAAGAGGGGAGGAGGAACGCATGTCCAAAAGTCTTTCATCAAAAATTTAAATCACTCTTAACCAAGACGCCATTAATGCATTCAGTAAATTAAAAAACTCTCTAATTTCCGCTGATGTTATGCTACAATATCCTGACTTTGAAAAAGAATTTTATTTAACTACAGACGCTTCAGACTACGCAATAAGAGCAGTACTTGAACAAGACAATAAACCGATAACATTTATCTCAAGGACATTGTCAAAGACAGAAGAAAACTATGCTACAAACGAAAAAGAACTCTTAGTCATTGTATTGACTTTAAAAACCTTTAAAAATTATCTTTATGGTCCAAGCAGTGTAAAAATCTTTACAGACCTACAACCTTTGACTTATGAACTTAGCAATAGGAATACCAATAGTAAATTAAAGAGATGGAAATCTATATTAGAAGAATATAACTACGAAATTAAATACAAACCTGGTAGCACAAACGTGGTAGCAGATGCATTATCTAGACCACCACAACAAATAAATTCTATGACAGCAACAGAGCATAGCGATGAAAGTTCAGCACAAACATTAATACCTTACACCGACGCACCAATTAACGCTTTTAAGAACCAAATTTTCATTCCTTAGGAGAAACTTCATCATATCAATTCCAAATAATTTTTCCTACCTATCATAGACATACAATAGTCGAACCAGATTTTACCGAAGAAAGTCTTACCATACTTTTAAAAAGATATCTCAATCCATCCGTAACGAATTGTATAAAAACTAAAGACAGCATTTTGGGAAAAATCCAAACCATTTATCAAGTTCATTTTAGTAATTACAGAGTACGTTATACCCGAAAATTCATAAAGGACATTTTAAGACGTCTGACCAAGAAACCGAAATTATCAACGAACATAATAGAGCTCATCGTAACCCTACAGAAAATAAAACACAACTCTTGGAAAGATGTTATTTCCCGCAAATGAATGCCAAAATAAAAAGAATCACTAAACAATGCAAAGTCTGTAAAGAAAATAAATACGATCGTCATCCTAATAAACCTCATTTACTCGAAACCCCTATTCCACAATATCCTGGTGAAATTGTTCATATAGATATATATAGTACAGAGAAAAATCTTTTACTCTTCGCAGTAGATAAATTTTCGAAATACGCCCAAGTTAGATCAATAGGATCAAAAGCAATAGAGGATATCAGAGAACCTTTGCGACAAATACTTTTTGCTTTCGGTGTACCGAAAACCATAGTTATAGATAATGAAAAATCTCTTAATTCAGCTTCAATACAATTTATGGTTGAAGACCAACTTGGTATTAACATTTTTAAATCACGAAATACGTGAAGCCTTAATTAATATTAAGTATGCCATTCATTGGGCAAAAAATAAAATTATTAATTCAATGTTGTTAAATAAAAATGAAATAAAAAATGCAGTTTTAAAACTTCAAGAAGAAAACATACCATTCGTCACCATAGAAGAAGCACTAGAGTATGCCAATGTGGACATTTTAACTAACGCAACCACGTTGCTACAAGTATATATCATTATAATTCCATTTACACAAAAAGAAAATTACAACAATGTTATTATAAAACCTGTAAAAAGGATAAATAAAACTTTACATTTAAAATTTAATCAAATTTTGACAAATGGGACGAAAATCTTTGGCATTAAAGACAAATGTACTGAATATAGTTTTACCAAAATAAGTAGACATAAGTAATGATAATTGCATATCTAAATTATTAAAAAGTCTGAATTCGTCGTGTGCCATGAGCAGCGGTCACCACATACCAACGATAGAAGAACTAGAACCAGGCCTTATCCTCTTAATTGATTTCAACGGAACAGTAGAGACCACCGGAGAAGACCACAAAATTGTTGGTACTTTTCTTATAAAATTCCACAATACAACACTTAAAATAAACAATCAATATTTTCGCAACATTGAGTCACCGTCACCTAGGTTAGCAGCAGTTCCATCAGTGATGCAGCCATCCCCATCCGAGAGTGAACGAATAAACATATTGTCGTTGGGAGCTCTAAACAAGTTGCACATCAACAATACAAAAAGCATCGATTATCTAAAAACCGATAACATAATACATAAATTTTCTTTACTTGGACTAGGTATATACATTTGATACCATTCATAATCTTTTGGAGTTTTTGGAACAAAACTACAAAAAAAGTTGTCGTTCACGAAATACCGCCTACAACAGAAAAAGCAGCGGTTAGCATTAAGTGTTTGACAACAAGCATAATCGGCGCACCTCATTTCTAATCGATCGAGCAAAATATTTTATAAAATAACAAGTAGAATAAGTTACCTTTTAGCTTAAGTCTGTAACTGAGTTGAAATTTATACTTCAAGAAAGAAGGTCATACTGACCCTAAAATTAATTTTTTTTTAATTTTAAATACGAAATTCAATAATTTGTATGTTGTGATTGTGAGTTGTGTTTCAAGGTGTGGTGTGTTGTATTAGGGTGTGTCATTATTTAACCTGATGTAGCGGTGTAGTTGGAGGGGGAGTTTATAGTCATTTAAACAATTTTAAATAATTAATTATTTTTAAAAATTATGGACCGTAAATGACCTCCATGCTCAGCCACGCATATGCGACACCTAATTAGAAAATTGTTGGTGGCGACCTGAAGCGTTGAAGTTGGGATTGCCTCAATTATTGGACTGCTTCAATTCAGTCAGATTTCTGGGTTTTGTTATATTTGTATATCTCTTGCTTGACATAACCCTAAGCAAAAAAAGTCTGGTGCAGTTAGGTCAGGTGACCTTGGTTACCAGGGGAAAGTGGAGTTACTTGATATTAATTTGTTTTCAAATTTTCGTTGGAGCTCCGCAATAACCGGTCTGGCTATGTGTACAGTCGCTCCATCTTACTGGAACCAAACGCTATTGAAAGGAATACGTTTTTGGCGCAGTTTTGCCCATTGATAGTTACTGTTACATCGTTTTTTCACAGAAGTATGACCCGACAATACACCATGATGAAACTGCGCACCACACTTTGACTCGTTCTGAGTGAAGTTCCGTCTCTTGGATTATTTCTAGATTTGATTCACTCCATATACGGAAATTTTATTTGTTTACATTTCCATTTAGATGAAAATGGGCCTTATCAGACATAAACAGGCAATTTATCAAGTGATTGTCTTCTTCAAACATTACAATAATTTTTAGGTAAATTTACAGCTGAATAGGCAAATCTAGCAGCTTTAACCTGCTATTTGAACTTTGTACGGAAACAGGTTTAAGTCATCATGAATTATCCGTAATGACCGTCTGCTAACTACAAGTTGCGCCGATAAGTTGCAAGTCGAAAGTCTTGGATTTGCCTGAATTGACGAAGTAACTGCTGCGATTGTTTCTTGAACACGAACATACGTCTTCCTGACTATGGTGGTAACCTTCGCAACGTCGTTTGACTCGTTACTCAATCTGTAGCCATTTAGAGCCGGGCACTTCATGGCGATTCGTTATCAAACAACTGTTCGGATGTCAAATTATTTATTTTTGTGGAAATAAAATAAGCAGAATAAACGATTCGAAAACGGTTCGATTTCTTTCGATTTTACTTAGATTTTAGAGTCCGTTTGCGCTCGTGCCTAGATGAATCATGGGAAGTATTGCAGCTCCTGATCCAAATATCCAGCATGTTACCGCATGATAAAGCCTTTTCCACGCTTTGCTTGCTGATTACGAGAACGTTTTATACGATTTTCTGCTATAAAAGAAGGAATNACAGGACAATCATGGGAAGTTTATTATAACCAATATCCTTCTCAGGACGGCATGATAGACAGGGAGTAAATAGAATTTTCAGATATCTATTTTATAGGCTAACGAATTCTACTTTGCCCTACTTTCAGTGCAAAGATAGTAACGAAGAAATTTTAAAATTCCTAATAGATACAGGTTCAAATAAAAATTATATCCAACCACAACTTGTCAATAACCCTATTCCCAATAATGAAATTTTTTATGCCAACTCAATAGGCGGCAATATAAAAATAACCCATCATACCTTTATCAATCTTTTTGGATTCAGAGACGAAAAACTAAAATTTTTTATCCTTCGGAGGTTAAAATCCTTCCATGGAATTCTCGATAATGATAGTTTGAAACAATTAGATACAATAATTTTTACCTCAAGAAATTACATGCTAATAAAAAACAAAATTAAAATTGCTATCAAACAACAAATAACCAAATCAGTCAAGAATATCGAAATTAGAACAGACCACCTTACTTCCGAACTGTCAGAAAAACTTCGCAATTTATGCAATATATTCCCAAAACTTTTTTCCACCAGAAGAAAAGCTAACATACACTACCGTAGTAAAAGCCGAAATAAGAACTACCACACAAGACCCAGTATATTCGAGATACTACCCATATCCCATGTCACTCAAAGATGAAGTGGAAAAACAAATAGCCAAATTACTCGATGACGGTATAATACGACCTTATCGATCCCCGTACAATTCTCCAATCTGGATAGTGCGGAAAAAAATAATGCATCTGCCACAAAAAAATACAGAATGGTAATTGATTATCGTAAATTAAATTCAATTACGATAACCGTTCCGTATCCTATCCCGGATATAACAGTTCTTGACTTAAAAAGTAGCTTTCACCAGATTCCATTAGTTGAATCGGACGTTGCAAAAACAGCATTTTCAGTTAATAATGGTAAATACGAATTTACTAGATTACCCTTTGGCTTAACGCCCCATCAATTTTCCAAAGAGCATTAGACGACATACTCAGAGAGTATATCGGAAAAATATGCTTTGTCTACATAGACGACATTATCATTTTCGGCCAAAATGAGATATCACACTTAGAAAATATTAATATTATTTTCCACACTTTAGAAAAAGCTAATCTAAGAATCCAAATTGACAAATGTGAATTCTTAAAAACAGAAGTAGAGTTTCTAGGATTAAGCATTTCTCAAAACGGAATAAAGACAAACCCTTCAAAAGTGAAATCCATTTTAGAATTTCCACCACCACAAACCATAAAAGAGATAGATAAGATTAGATCATTCTTAGGACTTACCGATTATTACCGCCGATTTATAAAAGGCTATGCAAAACTTGCCAAACCCTTAACAATACTTTTAAGAGGGGAGGAGGAACGCATGTCCAAAAGTCTTTCATCAAAAATTTAAATCACTCTTAACCAAGACGCCATTAATGCATTCAGTAAATTAAAAAACTCTCTAATTTCCGCTGATGTTATGCTACAATATCCTGACTTTGAAAAAGAATTTTATTTAACTACAGACGCTTCAGACTACGCAATAAGAGCAGTACTTGAACAAGACAATAAACCGATAACATTTATCTCAAGGACATTGTCAAAGACAGAAGAAAACTATGCTACA